CAGTCCATACAAGTCTTTCCAGGTTTTTCTGAAGTCCACTTGCTTATCATTTCTTATAGCACAGTAGTATTCCATTACATTCATATACCACAACTTGTTCAGCCATTCCCCAACTGATGGGCATCCCCTCAATTTCCAATTCTTTGCCACCACAGAAAGAGCTGCTATAAATATTTTTGTACATGTGGGTCTTTTCCCCATTTTTATGATCTCTTTGGGATACAGCCCTAGAAGTGCCATTGCTGGATCAAAGGGTATGCACATTTTTATAGCCCTTTGGGCATAGTTGATGGGTAACTTTTCAAGGACATTTACATGACCTTACCCTCTTCTCTCCAAAAGAAACCTAGGTGGTAGGATGGGATATAGGTTAGCTCCTTGGAGGACCAAGACTTCAGACTTATTCAGAATGGCTAGAGCTCTTTGAAAATCAGATTGGGAGGGACAGCTAAGTGGTGCAGTGGATAGCACATTGGCCCTGGGGTCAGGAGGATCTGAGTTCAAATCCGGCCTCAGACACATAACACTTACCAGCTGTGTGACCCTGGGCAAGTCACTTAACCCCATTGCCTAGCCAAAAAAAAAAAAAAAAAGGAAGTCAGAATGGGAACAGGAAATAAGTTCTTTTGAGAGAGAGAGCTGGATAAAAGAAGCTACAAAGCCTCCAAAACATGTTTAAAGGGTCAGAGGGAAATGAAAGGGGTAGAAAGAGTCTGTCTTCTTCAATAACTGAGGAGAATGAGCCCTTGCCTACCTCTCCATCAATCCAGTCAACCACAGGTACTTTTTAGTCAACCAATCAACAAATACTTATTAAATGCCTATCATGTTCTAGGTGCTGGAGATACAAAGACAAAAGAATTGAAAAGTACCTACTATGTACCAGACCCAGTCTCTGTCCTCCAGAATCCTGTACTCTGTCAGGGAAAACAAGATGTACACATATAAGGAAATACAAAAGGCTTATAAAGTAACTGGGGGTAGGGCAAGGGTCTTAGTAAGTGAAGGGATGGTGGAAGAGGTTCTTCAAAAGAATCAAAATGGCAGACACCCCAAAGAGCAAGAAGCCTAACAGAGCTAACATTTGTCTAGTACTTTAAGGTTTGCAAAAGGCTCTGCATACATATTATTTCCTTTGATCCTTACAACTCTAGAAGGTAGGTATGATCAGAGCTATTATTCCCCTTGTCCAGATAAAGAAACTGAGCTCAGCAAGGTTAAATGACTTACCCTGGCTCACACAGCTAGTAAGTGACCCCAGTAACCTAGGGTTTGACAAACCCAAAGATCAAAGTTTTTTGGGATGAGAACTCACCATTTGACAAAAATTGCTGAGAAAATTGGAAAGCAGTTTAACAGAAAACTAGGCACCGACCAACATTTCACACCATATACCAAGATAGGATCTAAATGGATAAAGGATTTAGACAGAAAGGATGATGCCATACGTAAATTAGGGGAGCATGGAAAAATGTATCTGTCAGATTTATGGAGAAGGGAACAGTTTATGACCAAACAAGAGACAGGGTCATGGGAAGTAAAATGGATAATTTGGGTTACATGAAATGAAAAAGGTTTTGCACACACAAAATGAGTGCAGCCAAAATTAGAAGGAAAATAGTTTGGGAAAAATTTTAACAGCAAATTTTCCTAATAAAGGCTTCATTTCTCAAATATATAGGGAATCAAACCAAATTTGTAAAAATGTGAACCGTTCCCCAATTGATAAATAGCGAAAGGATATGAAAAGACAGTTTTCAGAAGAGGAAATCAAGCCTATCAAAAAATGCCCTAAATCACTATTAGAGAAATGCAAATGAAAACAACTCTGAGGTACCACCTCATACCTATCAGATTGGCTAACACGACAGAAAAGGAAAAGAAACTGAGTCTCAGCCTTGTCCTGGGTCACACAGCTAGTAAATGACAAACCCAGATCTTTCATTCTGTAAAATGGGGATAATTCTAACACCTACCTCCCATTGTTGTGAGGACCAAATGAGATAATCAGAAAGTGCTTAGCACAGTGCCTGGCACATAGTAGGTACTGTGTAAGAATAACTATTATGATCTTCCTGACTCCAAGTCCGGCGATGACTTCTACACAAGAAGTATCATAAAAATCGAATGTAGGAAATGTAAAGAAAAGAGCAAAAAATCAAAAACAGGAGGTCATATAGTAAGAGAGAGCTTAGTGCAGCAAAGAGAGAGCTGGTCTCTGGAAGTACTAGCTCGGTTATTTAGTGGCTGAACTACCCTGGGCAAGTCATTAATCCCTCAGGGTCCTAGGCTACTCTCTAAGACTGGGAGGGGCTGATGGGAAACTGATTAGAAATGAAGAGTCATCTCTTTTATTTATTTATTTATTTATTTAGTTAGTTAGTTAGTTTTCGTTTTCAACATTCACTCACTCCCCCCTTTTCTTTCCAAGGCAATTGGGGTTAAGTGACTTGCCCAGGGTCACACAGCTAGTAAGTGTCAAGTGCCTGGTCTGAGACCAGATTTGAACTCAAGTCTTCCTGACTCCAGGGCCGGTGCTCTATGCACTATGCCACCGAGCTGCCCCTCAATGTTCATTTTTATAGGATTTTGAGTTCTAAAATTCCTCCCCCAAGATGGCGTGCAATCTGATATGGGTTATACATGTACAATCATATTAAACATATTTCCACATTCATCATGTTGTGAAAGAAGAATCAGAACAAAAGGGAAAAACCATGAGAAAGAAAAAAAAGAGAAAATAATATGCTTTGATCTGCATTCAGATCCCGTAGTTCTTTTTTTCCTTGATAATTAATTAATTAATTTTTATTTTTCAACAGTCACTTCTATAAGATTTTGAGTTCTAAACTTTCTCCCTCTCTCTCTCCTCCTCCCTCCCCAGAACAACATGCAATCTGATAGAGGCTCTACATATATTCATGTTAAGCATATGTTCCCATAAGTCATGATGTAAAAAACAATTAGAACTAACAGGAGGAACCTGGAGAATGAAGCAATAAAACAAAACAACAAAGGAAGAGGAGAGCAAATAGTCTGCTTCCATCCACATTCAGACTCCATAGTTTCTCTGGGTGTGGACAGCACAGAAAAGCCATCTCTTGAAGGGTTAGTGGGGGAAAGGGACATATTAAAGTTGGATGGACGGGACCACTTTTCAAGGATGTGTCCCCTACTTGGGGCAGATCTCCCTTCAGTCAATCAATAAACATTTATTAAGGGCCATCTATGTGCCAGGCACTGCGCTAAGTGCCTGGATATAAAAAAGAGGCCAAAAAAAAAAGTTCCTGCCCTCAAGGAGCTTACAATCTAATGGAGTGCACAAACAAGCTCTACACAGGATCAGCAGAAAATGATGGACAGAGGGAAGGCCCTGGAGTGAAGAGGCCTTGGGGAAGGCTTCCTGTAGAAGGTGGGGTTTCAGTTGGGGCCCAAAGGAAGTCAGGTAATTTCCCTGATCTGTCCAAAAGACACTTGGGAGGTGGGGCAGAGGGAAGGTGCCCATCTCCAGCCGTAGAGGACCTGTCTTTGGACTCCGATGACATCACAGGCTTGGTCCAAAACAAACCAGCCAGGGGCGGCTAGGTGGCACAGTGAATAGAGCTCTGGCCTTGGAGTCGGGAGGACCCGAGTTCAAATCCAGCCTCAGACACTTGACACTTAACTAGCCGGCGACCCTGGGCAAGTCACTTAACCCTCATCGCCTCACCAAAAATAGCAAAACAAAAACAAAACAAACAAGCCAAACTTGTTGGGCGGAGAGCTGGTAGCCAGAGGAAGGTCTCCAGTGGGAAGGCATGGATGGGAAAGCATTGCCCAGGAAGAGGGACAAGCTTTCATTAAGCACCTAGTGTATGCCAGCCACGTTACCACGTGCTTCTCAAATGTCTCATTTGAGCCTCACAACTAGCCTGGGACAGTGCCCGGCACACAGTAGGTGCTTAATGCATGCTTGTTTCCTTCCCTTTCCCACTTAATTCATCTGCTCCTCCAAACAAGCCTCTGAGGTGGTCGCTGTTGGTGTCCTCACTTCCCAGAGCAGGGAGCGGGTTAAGTGTTTTGTATACTGGTCCACAGCTAGTGAGTCGGTTGGTTTTTTAGAGCTCATTATGTAACTGATTTATGTGCCACACGCAGCAGTCTTCTTCTTCCAAGAATGTGAAATCCGTGACGTTTCTAGGAGCCCATGCTTGTTAAAAGCCCGGGATAAAAAGATAAAGGAACAACACACAGCAAACAGCTAGTGACTTTGCACCTGGGTTTCTCTCTTCACTACTCAACCGTCTTTGGCACTCGGCTGCCGGGAAGAGCCCCGGCCTTGGCCCATCAAGACTCCAATTTCTTCCTACGGCGCTCGGTGGCACCTTCCGCCTCAGTTTCCTTATCTGTAAAATGGGCATAATCACAGCGCCGCCCTTCCAGGGCTGTATGAGGCTCAAACGGGATGCTCTTTGGAAACTGCGCTTACTCAGCACAGCGCTTACACGCAGCAGGCGCTGCATTGTGTAGTGTGCTTATTCTCTTCCCCTTGCTGCAGGGCATACAGTAGGAGCTTAATAAATGGGTATGCACGGTTCGCGCGTCCACAGCGCTGGGGTTGAGACTCCCGGCCAGCTCAAGGCGAGGATGCCTGAGCTACGCAGGCGGCCCCGCCTTCGGCTTCACTCGGTCGTCGGCCATTGGCCAGAGCACCCCAGACCCCGCCCCGCCCCACCCACCCACTCCTCCCCGCCGCGGCTTCGCGCGACCGAGGAGTCTTGTTTCTGCCCGGCCGCCGTCGGGGCCGGTCGGGGTCGGAGGTCACGGCGGCGTGGTTACCCGGAAACTGCCGCGGCCCAGAGCCGGAGCCGGAGCGGCGGCGTCTGGGACGGAGGCGGCGGCCGCGGCCTGGGCCTGTCAGCGTCCCGGGGTCCCGGAGCGGAGCGGGGAGCGACAGTCAGGAGCGGGCCGGGGGGAGAATGGTGCAGAGCGGCCCGGCGCCCGCGCCCGCCCCGCTGCCGCCGCCGCTGCTGCTGCGTGTGAGCGCGGCCCGTTAGCGGAGCCTCCCGCCCGGCCCGGCCCGGCGGCGTAGGGTGAGCGGCCCGGGCCCGGGAGCGGGGCGGCGGGGGGGGGCGGGGCGCGCTGGGAGGTCGTCCTCTCCCCCCACACGCGAGGGGGAGGGCCGGGGGCGGCCACGTGTCCGCCCTCCAGAGCCGGGGGGACCCCAGCCCCGCCCTGCCCCCTGTTCTCACTCTGAGGAAACTGAGGCCTGCCCTCCTCCGTCGGTCCGGCCTCCCTGCCCTCCCGGTGTGTAGAGCAGCCAAGTGACATTTCTCGGGGGGCACGAGGTGCCCCTCGCCCCCCTCGTCTGGGGGCCCCTTGTTTTACTTGGCATCGCCACCGGAATCTCGGGGTGCCCGAGCGCCAGCCCGCCCCTTTCCGGCCAAGAGCAAAGAGGCGAGGAGGGGGTCGGCGGCGTCAGCGGGGCAGGGGTCCGGAGGGTTTCTGGGTCTGGGCCTTTGCTTTCCCTCTTGAGAGTTCACTGACCACGTTGCAGACCCGAGGTCAGGGGAGGAAGGGACTGAGGGTCTGAGGGCAGAAAGACAATCCCTAGTCTGGGGGCGGGGGGCGCTGCCCTCATGGGGGAGGGGCGAGGCTTCCCCCCCAGCTTCTCCTTGTTTGTGATGACGTCTGCAGAGTCTCTAAGGTAGCCCCTTCCCCTGCCTCTGGATTTAGTAATGAAAACTTTTTACGAAGCTGGTGTCCCCCCAAGGACCGCTGGTAAAGCGAGGTCCAGGTGGCCGCTGGCGGTGGACAGAATGCCCTGCCCATCTAGTGGCCGAAGGAGGGGTCAGCTGCTGTCCAACTGCTGCCCGCCGCCTCCATCTCACACTCGGTGTTGTGTTGGACCTCCTCTGCAGACACCTTCGGCAGGGAAGATCACACATTCCTCTTGAGAGACGTAACCCTCTGGATCTGGTCACCACTTGCATTTCAGAGGTGAGTCCCGGGATTGTGTGGGAAAGACAGCTTCCGTCTGGTGCCCTGGCCTTGGTTAGCTGGGTGGCTGCGGCTCAGACTTTTTCCTCCCCAGTTTTCTCCCTGACATAAGGGTCCCAATGGTAGTAAAAACTTTTAGGAGCACACATTTGCGCTGCATGAGAAGAGCTGCTCTCTTTTCAGCAGTGAGACTGTATTGTAGGTGGTCAGTCTGCACCTGGTTCCCCTCAGCCTTGCGTGAGAATGGAGAATGGATGCTCTCCAGGGCTCCGGCGGACCCTTAGCTCAGAGGCTCTGCAGGTGAAGGGCCCTTGTGCCCTGTGCCTTTCTGTAGAATGGTGAGACCATACCTTGGGCACACCTAACTTGACATTTTGTAACTTGGGGGTTCTGGCTAGTGCCTATGAGGCAGTAGGTGGTGGAAAGCGGTGCTTAGCTGGTTTTAAGGATGATGAAAAAGGAAGCAATTGCTGCCCTCTCTTCTAATAATCAGAAAGTTTAATTTGGTCCCTGGGAGTGTGAGCTGCAGCATTTGTGGTTGGGTTGAGGGAGTGAAACTAGGGCCATCTTTGCAGTAGCTACCCCTGAGGGCTGAAAAGTTCTTTGTTGTCTGCAGCCCAATAATTTCTCTAGTCGCCTCAGCCTCAGTGCTGTTCATCTGGACCGGTGTTCTTGGAGGTGCTTTGAAATGAAGAGCACCCTGGAATTGTTGGTGATTACAATAATGGGGGATCATGGGAACAGTCTGTTTCCGGGCTCTGCTTGCTTTTCGGTGCCCTTCCCTTCTGTTCCTTTTCTCTGTTATTTTTCAGTTCTGTACTCAGGAACAGGAGCAAACAGAACCCAGAGCTCCTTTGCCACATCCTGTTTCCTTCACTAAGTTTTGCTTGTGATTCAGTCTGGGTGTTGGTCAGGGTCTCAAACAGTCTTAAAATTCTCATGAAAAAGTTTGGAGAAGAGCCTTCATCTTGATGCTGTGGGATCGGCACCGTGGTCAGCGTCTTTTAATAGGTTACTATAACCTAAGCTGGCGTTCTCTCGAATGTCTTTATCAAGGCACTCATTAAATAAGCAGCAGCATTCGTTTAGCCTTTTCATCCCTCTAAAAAGATGGAAATTTGATCAGCTTCGGGTACCTGAGGCCCTGGACACTTGTGTGGTCGACAGATGTGACCTTTCAGTTTGCGTTCTGTTCCCAGGCATCTCTCCTGTGGTCCATGCTAACATTCGATTAAGCAGTGGGTCGCTAGTCTTTAATAACACAGCGCTACCTTTTCCACACTTTGAAAAAATGTGGCCTTGAGCTTGCACAGCAGAAGCTCCTTGCCGAGTTTGCTGGCCTTTCTCAGCCTGTCGTCCTGCTCAGAGGCAGCAGCTCCTCCTGCTAAATTCCAGAATGTTCCAGGCTCTTCTCACTGTCTGTAGTTTAAATCCTTGGGACTTTATGGCCCTGGCAGCAGGCGCCAGAAGGAATTGTGCTCTTTACACTGGAAGGAATTCATGGGGTCATGGGATGAAAAGATAGATGGAAGGGAAACCCAAGGTCATCTCCTATAATCCCCTGACCTTGTAGATGACTTCCCAGATCAGGCTTCTGACTCAGGACTTGTGACTCCCAGCTGTGCCCTCTCTGAATGACCGCCTCACCTTTGTAGATGACCTCAGGCATCCTTGAGGCAGAGGAAACCAGGGACGGGAGGTTACCCAGGGAGGAGGCGGGGGTGGAGCCAGCGTCCCCCAAATCCAGAGAGAGAGAGAGAGAGAGAGAGAGGGAGAGAGAGAGTGTGTGTGTGTGTGTGTGTGTGCGCGCGCGCGCGTGCACACGCGCGCATATACACTCAAGCGCCACTGTCCCTTCTTCCTCCCCAGGTGGCACAAGGCCAGGGTTGTGCTGCACCCAGCCCAGTAGATGTTAGGGACCAAAAGGTCTTCTTGGCCAACTCCCTTATTTTTTATAAATGAGGAAACTGAGGCCAGAGAAGGGAGGTGACTTCCTCCTCCCCAGGCTAAATAAATGCTTGTTGAATGAATCAGTGGGTGGTTACTGGCCCTCTAGCTGCTAATGTTGTTTTGGATACCTTGGGGCAGTAACATTTTATCCTCTTCCCTCCCTTGTCCCTCCTTCCCACTGTGGCCAAGCTGAAGTGGTCCAGTGAGTCACAAGTTACAGCCAGCCACACCTGTTAAGTTGGGGGTTGAGCATTTGCTGGCACTGATTTTCAGCGCAGTTCATAGAGTTTGGGCACAGAGAGTCCTTGCCCTTGGAAGTTAATGCCAGTTCCCACTTGGGCCAGGCACTTGGACTGGCACTAGCCCAGCACAGTGAAGTGTAAGCTCCCTGAAGGCAGGCTCTATTTTCCACCTCTTGTTTCCTGGGACCTAATGTAGCCTAGGGCCTTGCCCAGCAAGCACCGAGTAGGTGCTTAATTATGCCTGTTGGACTGGATCGCCTTGTAGCGCCCCAGGAAGGTGTGCTCACTCTGCTTAGGACTGCCACCAAGTGCAGAGGGAGGTCACCATGTCTGTCTTTGGGGTGGATTAGGTTACAAATAAGCCTTGTTCTTCTGGATGTGGGTGTGGTTGTGAGGTTTGTTTTTGTTTTTGTTTTTGTTTTTATCCCCAGCATTGCTTTCAGATGGGATTTTGGTTGAGTTTATTTGTTTTTGGGAGCATTTGGCTTTCCCATTCTCTTGGGGCAGCCAGCCTGGGGTGGCAGTGCCAGGTCTGTGTTCAGACAGCGTGTAGAAGGCGCTCCTCTGTGAAAAGCCCCTTCGCCTCCTCTCCTGGGCCTGCAGAGTGACCTGTTCTCTTTTCCGCATGTTTTTGGGCTTCCTCATCTTCGGCTGATGGGCTGAAGCTGCAGAACAGGTGGAATTATTTGGGGATGACCTGTCCCGTTTGATTGACATGACGTGCTGTGGTTATTTCAGTAGTGCGCCGCCAAGTTGGGTGGGGAAGGCGTTTCTTCTTTCTGTTGCCATTTTTATTGACTTCACGGGATAGTGACGTAATGAACTTTGCAACCATTTTTTTTCCTTGTGACGTTGAAGATTGGGCCATTGGCTAAAGCAGCAATTTATTTTTTAAACCTTCCGTAAACACCCTGAAATATTGTTAGGTTGTCGAATAATTCAAGAAGTAAGGGCTGGGGATGTTTAGGACAAGAGGTTTGCTTAAAATTTCTTGAGATTCCCCCCCCCCCCAAGTTTTAAAGCTGCTAATGTGCAGTTTTGATGCCTCACCAGTGCAATTAAATCCACTGGAGCTGCTCCATTTTCATTTCTTTTTAAGATGTGTGTTAAACATGTGCTTATGAGTGAGCTTTGCAGAACTGATTTCCCCTAAGAGTGGAGAAATCTCCTTTGAGCTGAATGGCAGTTTTGTAACAGCTTATAGTCCTCGGAGCTGCCTAGATCATAAAGGGGACCTGAGGGCATCCAGGACCCAAAGAGACCCCGAATCTGGCCTCTGCTCTGTCGATGAGTAACCGGATGGCAAGTGACCTTGGACAAGTCATTTGCCTCTTCCTCTCAGTATTGTTCTCTTTAATATAAGGAGGCTGGACTAGGTGACCTCAGTCACAAGCCTTTTCCAGAGTTACTGTTCTGTGATTCTAAATGAAAAATGCTTGGGAAGAGGCTTGCAGGAGTTTAGTTGTTTTCCATTGTGTCTGACTCTTCATGACCCCATTTTGGGGTTTTCTTGGCAAAGATCCTGGAGTGGTTTGCCATTTTCTTCTCCAGCTCATTTGACAGATGAGGAAACTGAGGCAAACAAGTTGAAGTGACTTGCCCAGGGTCACATAGCTAGTAAGTGTCTGAGACCAGAGTCGAACTCATAAAGAGGGGTCTTCTTGACTCCAAGCCCAGCGCTCTATCCACTGCACCACCAAGCTGCCTGTGGGAGATGAGTTCCTCCATAATTCAGTTCAACACACATTCAATAAACAAGCTGGGCTTAGTCAGGAGAGCCATTAAATCCAGAGAGCTCTTCTAAAATTCCTGATTTTATATTTGAAGGTGGGCCCCGAGTTGAATGCTAGCTGAGATGTTCGCTGTTAGTGCAGTCAGGCTTCAGATCATTTGTTAGATTTAATTTAGCAGTACTGGACTTGACACCCAAGGCTGTCCCTTTGGAGGGACCTTATCCTTCCATTTACACCCTTTCTTTAGTGTTTTCGGATTCTTCCTCAGCTCCCTTCTGGTTTTTTACATTCTCAGGTCTTCTCTGCCTCATTAGTGTCTCCGGTTACCCATCTCAGCATAGTGTTGTCTCTCCTCCCCTCTGCTGTCACATTTCTCTGCCTTCATTCCCTTGCCCTACGTTCCAGGCTTCACTCCTGGGTCCTGTCTCTGTCGCATTGTTAGAAGTGCTGTTTGACGGTACCAGTGGCTTCCTACAGGCCATCCTCAGAGACCTTCTTTTAGTGGTCATCTTTCTTAACCTTTTAGCAGCATCTGACCACCGTCTTCTGGAAGCCCTCTTCCATTTACTCCGGTGACCTCCTATCACAGGTCTTATTTTGCCTCTGCCTTTTGCCTTTGACCTTTGACCTTTGTTTTGTCAGCCCTGGAATCTTGGGTTAGGAGGGGACTCTGTTGGGCATTTAGTCCAGTCCCTGTGGAATGATGAATATCATGTTACATTATCCCCCTAATCTGTTTGAGACCTCTAGTGACAAGGAACTCAATCAGAATAATTGGGAGGGAGGCACGGTTTTCCTGACCTGTGGTTTCATCTGGTATAGGAGGGGCTCTCACTGAGAAACTTCCCAAGGCAGGTCAGCAGCTGCTCTGTGGCCTGGGAGTCTGAGAGTTGTCTCGGGGCCCTGAGATGGGATTCAAATGCAAACTTCATTCCAAGGTTAATGGTCTGGTCCACCATGATGTGCCCCACCATCTCTAGAAGTAGCCCACTGCTCCACTTTTAGTTGTTAGGAAATTTTTCCTTTATATTGAACAGAAATCTGCCCCGTGTAACTTATACCCATTTGTCCTCGGTAGCTCTCTGGAAACCAGCAGAGGAGTAAGCATAATGAACCAGGAGACCTGGGTTTGAATTTCATCTTGGAAAGTTAACCAAGTCACTGAAAGCTCACAGTGCCTCAGTTTCCCCATCTGTAACATGAGGATAATATTTTAATTACATTTTTATTACCTCTCAGAGTTGTAAGAAAAGCAAATATTTTGCCAACTTTAAAGTGTTGTGTACATATGAGTTCTCATAAGTAGGACAAGTTTTGTCTTTCTTCCATGTGATATTTGAAGGCTACAGTCATGTGTTTACTCCCTATCCCCTCCCATCTTTTCCAGATTAATCATCCCAATTTTCTTCAGTAATAGTGATAACTGACATTTACATTATCAGTCAGTCACTAGACATTTATTAAGTGTCTACTATGTGCCAGTTTGCTAGGAGGCACAGTGAATAGAGTGATGGGCCTGGAGTTGGGAAGATTCCTTTTCCTTAGTTCAAATCTGACCTCAGGCACTCGCTCGCTGTGTGACCCTGGGCAAGTCACTTAACCATTGTTTCAATTCCTCATGTGTAAAATGAGCTAGAGAAGGAAATGACAAACCACTTGAGCATCTCTGCCAAGAAAACCCCAAAGCGGAGTCACAATGAGCTAGACCTGGTTTAAAACAGCTGAACAACAGATGTGCTAGGCACCGTGCTAAGTTCTGAGGATACAGAAAGAGGCAAAAGACAGTCCTTGCTCTCACGCAGCTTATGATTTACTAGGGACGACAACAAGCAAATATCTACAGATGAGCTATGTGCAGGATAATTAGGAAGGAATTAAGAAAAGGGAGGCACCAGAATTAAGAGGGGTTGGGAAAGGCTTACTGTAGAAGGTGGGGGTTTTGTTGGAACTTAAAGGAAGCCAGTAGGCAGAGATGAGGAGGGATGGAAGACACCTCAGGAAAATACCAAGAGATCCTTGTTGTTTAAGGATCAGCCGGGAGGCCAGAGTCACTGGATCAAAGGGTACGTGTCAGGGAGTAGGGTGTGAGAAGACTGGAAAGGTTGTGGAGGGTTTGGAATGCCAAGCAGAACGCTTTATAGATGCTCCTGGAGGCAATGGGAAGCCTCTGGAGTTTGAGTAGAAGGTTCCATGGCCAGACTTGAGCTTTAGGAAAATCACTAGTGGCCGAATGGAGGATGGATTAGAGAAGGATGAGGTGACCAGGGTCTGCTTCAGGGTGGGGGCTGTGTCAGAGGAGAGAAGATGCTGCAAAGGTGAAATCCACAGGCCTTGGCAAGAGCTTGGATACGCAGGTGAGAGAGTGAGGGGTCAGAGATCACCCTGGGTTGTGAGCCTGAGGGACTGGAGGGGGATGGCATTGCATGAGTTCCTTTGTCTGCCTCGATGCTCCTGCCATCCAGGAGAGTGTCATGAGCTTAAGATCCCTACTCAGGTGATCTGCCTTAATTCACTTTACCTCGAGCCCTCAGTATCTGTCTCTGAAGAATGGGGGAATTGGACTAAAGGACCACTAAGGCCTCTTCTGGCTCCAGCTGTCTGTGTTTCTGCTGCTTAACTTGTGACTGGGGCACTCCTGTTGAGCTCTCCTGAGTGTCCCTCTTCATATAAACTCATTTAGCTGGGGCAGCAGGGTGCTGTGGAGAAGGAGCCCTGACCGGCTTCAAATCCTGCCTCCGACACTTTCTGCCTGTGTGACTTAACCTCCCTGGGCCTCAGATTCCACCACGAAATAATGTCTGGATCCTTCTAGCCCTAAATCTATGGTCTTGTTGTTCCGTAACTTGTACAGTCAGGTCTTCAAATTCAAGTTCCTCACACACACACACACGTACATGCAGACATGTACACGCACACACATACATGCACACACACACATACATGCAGTTAAATATTCATCTTGTTAGCTTCGGCCCTCCAGCAATACACTGTGTAGCTCGTTGTAGATATTCATTCTGTTATTTGGTATAGTAGCAATCAATCCTTCCCTGCTTTATGTCGTCTTCATATTTGATAAGCAGGCCATCGGTGCCTTAAATATGTGTCTTTTATAAATGTGTTGAATAGAACAGGGTGACAGACGGACACATACCCCAAGTTTTCCGTCATTCTCCACTGGGCTCTAGGAACGTCTTGGGTAGTGGGGCTCCACGTGAGTTGAGGGAGAGCATGGGGGCAGAATTGACAGGCCCTGGCCCCAAAGATCCAATGAGGACTTTCTTCGAGCTCGCTTCAGTCCATTAATCGACCCTTTGTGATCTGGGTGTTGAACTGGGTCCTGCTGCTTTTCCCTGCGCTATCATCGGGCCCACATCTCTCCGTCTTGTCTGCAAGGATGAACAACAACAAGGATGCTATGGGTGACTTTGATCACATGCCTTGATGAAATTCAGGCACACTTAATCCATGACAGTCCTTGTTTATTAACTGTCAAAAATGGAAATGGGGCTAATACAATGTGACTTGCTCCTAGTGACTGCTTCCCCCTAAGTCCTTCATTTCTTCTTTTTAATAATTCATCTCACAGTTTTGCCTGGAATTGAAGTCAAGTTTGCCAGTCTAGTTTAAAGTACCTGCCTTAGAATCTCTGGGTGCCAGAAGTGACCTCAGTGGCCCCCTGGCACCACTCTCTCATTTTACAGAGAAAGGCCAGGAGCGGTTGAGTGACTCAGCTGCGGTGCCACAGGGCAGCAGTGCTGTGAGTCTCACCTCAATCCTTGGATTCCAAATGCTGCATCTTTCTCTAACATTCTGCCTTCTCGAGAAAATCCAGATAGCGTTCATTGGTCCTTCCCTAATAATTCCTGCCCCCATTGAACTCTCTTTGTAACAAAGAGAAACAAAACGAACTCATTTCCACTGTGTCTTGTCAGTGGGTGAAGACTTTCTCCCACTGTAGTCCCCTGCCCCTCTCTGGAAAGGAGCAAGGTTTCTTTGACTTCTGAAGTCAGGTTGGATGGTGACATTAGTCTGAATTGTGATCTGATTGCATCCCGGTTTCCTTCATGTACCTGTGCTCTTGGTTCTGCCTTCCTCGATCTGCTTTCAGTTCATGTGAAGCTTCCCTAGCTTCTCAGCTTTGGACAGGACTGTCTTCTTTCTTCATCTTTTTTTACTTCTTTATTTCTTTTTAGTTTTCAGCATTCACTTCCATAAGGTTTTGAGTTCTAAATTTTCTCCCCATTCCCAAGATAATGTGCAGTCTGATATAGGCTCTACATATACATTCATATTAAACGTATTTTCACATTATTCATGTTGTAAAGAAGAATTAAAACTAATGGGAAATACCATGAGAAAGAAGAAACCAAAAAAAGAGAGAGAGAGAGCAAATAACGTGCTTCGACCTGCATTCAGACTCCGTGGCTCCGTCTCTCCATCATACGTCCCTGGAGCTGTCCTGGATCCTTGCAGAGTCTGGCAAAGTCAGTCGTTGCGCAGTGTGGCTGTTACTGTGCCCAGTGTTCTCCTGGTTCGTGTCAATCTCTCCAGGGTTCTCTGACTTCTTTCTTCATCTGCAGATGTTGCATGAATCCAGCCGTTCTCCTATTGCTGCACGGGTGGGCTCTCCCTCATCTCTGGTTTCGGTTTGCTCACCACCATTTTGTTCTCTTTTTCCCAGTCAGAAGAGACTGAAGAAAAACCGGAGCCAAACCTGGCATCGAGTAAGTTCTCCTTTCCCCTTGTCCATTCTTGCCTGGCCCTTCTTTGCTCTGACCTTCTGCCTCCAGCAAAGTTCTTAAAAAGGCCCTTTTCTTGCCTTTTGCATTGATTATACAGCTCAGCATCTCTCAGGCCTTCCAGCTGCCTTTCCACAAATGGAACCTTCCCTTGTGACAGAGAAAGACAACTGAGCAGAAATGTCTGATAAAGGCAGTGCCCCCACCTGCCTCCATGTGGGCAGACTTCTGTCCTCACTCTCAGGCCCCTTCCAGAACCTCTGCCAAGAAGAGGGGCCTAGGTTCCCTTGGCTTTTCCTCTAAGTGTCTTTTCATTGACATTATTGAGTGCTTGCATCCATTTTCCTCTACGATGGCCTTTGTGATTCGATGTTAGTGTTTCCCGTGTTCCTCATGATTGTCCTTTCTTACTGCGCACTACCAGTGTGCTATTGCACTGGTCAGTGATCATTTTTTAGCCATTCCCTAGTCAGCGGGCATCCACTTTCCCCTAGATTTTTGCTCCTGAGAAAAGCCCTGCTGGATATTTTGGTATATGTTGGACCTTTGTTTTTCTATTTCAAATTTTCTTGGTGTGTGTATGGATTGCTGGGTCCGTGCGAATGTGGCTGAATTAGTCTTTTTGCCTGCGTAATGCCAAATTTATATTCACGGTGGTTGGACTAATCCATGGGCCCATCCTGAACCAATATTCTCTATTTAAATAACATTTTATTGATATCTTTTGTTGTGACATCATCTACATTTTCCAGTGTATCTCCAGCTCCACCGTTTCCTGGAGAGCCATCCCATATATAAAAGGGCAGGGGGAGGGGGCGGAGATTCCAGCACAATAAATCAGCATCAAGAAGAAGTCTGCTATGATGTGTGGTGTTCAATGAGTCATTAACCCCCCCACCCCCCCAGCAAAGAAGGAGGGGACAGGGTTCTCCCATCTCTTCTTTTTTGATTGTCGTATTGGGGTGTTCTTTCCACTTCGCTTTGTATCCATTCGTATAAGTCTCTCTGTACTTCTCTGTATTCATCGTGTTTGTTGTTTTGCGCAGTGCGGCAATATTCATGTGCCATAGCTTGTTTAGCCATTGCAGTGTTGCTTAGGTGTCTGGTTGTACAATGGATAGAGCCCTGGGCCTAGAGTCAAGAAGGCCCGAGTTCAAATCTGGCCTCAGCCACTTATTAGCTGTGTGATCTTGGGCATGTCCCTCTCTCTGTCTCAGTTTCCTCATCTGATCTGTAAAATGTAGACCAGAACAACACCGGCCTCCCAAGGCTGTTGTGAAAATCCAATGAGATAATACTTGTAAAGGGCTTCACCTGGCACATAGTAGGTGCTATATGAATGCTTATTTCCTCCTTCCCTCCCTCCCCTCATTCTCCAGGCAATGGGCATCTATTTTTTTTTTTCCCTAGTTCTTTACTACCACAAAAAATCGCTACATAGAATGCTGGGGGTGGGGTAGGGAATGGACCTTTATTTTTGTTATTGATCTCCTTGGGGATATTTGAACGAATGAAAAGGCTGTTTGCCAGGCACTGTGCTAAGCCTTGGTGATATCAAAGCAAACAAACAAGATGGTCTCTTCCCTCCACAGGAGAAGGGGCCTCCTAAAGGGGAGCTAGAAACTGAGGTGGGAAAAGAGGTCAGAGATGGGAGGTTCCCATGGGCCTTGTTCCAGGGAGGATGAGATGTAAGCTCACCTGGCAAAGTCTGTGCTCCAGGTGACTCAGTGCACAGCCCTTCAAGGGGAAGAGTGTATCGAGAGCAGGTCTGGACATGGCCCTGAAGGAGTGGAAGCTTTGGGCTGACAGGTGTCGACATTCGCTCACTTCATTGGCATAATAGAATGGTTGGATTTAGCACCCTCCTGTTTGCCCTTCATCCCCGTCCTTGCTGCCCTTCCCAGTATGCACCCGTCTGTTTAAAATGAGAATTCTGAGCTCCCCGTCCAGCCACATCTGTGGGCATCCACCCCACAGACACGGGATTGTTTTGTTCCCAAGAACCCCTCCCCTTCTGAATGCCCTGTTGTCCCCTCGGGTTTGTACCTGGAGCTGCTCCTCTCCCTATCACCCTCCTTCTCACCGTCCGTGGGTATCAGGCTTCATTCTGTCTCCCAGGCGCAGCATTTGGGGTCTCAGATCCACTTGTTGTTTCTTTCTTTGAAAGGCTCCCGTTTCCACCACAGCTTTCCCAGGCTCGGTCCTTCTCACCCCACACTTGGATTATTCCAGCCATAGACACTGACTGGCTGAGTGACCCTGGGCTAGTCACTCCCTCTGAGTCTTAGTTTCCTCATCTGTCAAATGAGGGGCACTTACTTCCAGCTCTAAATCTATAATCCAAGGGTCCTGTGAATGTTAGACTCGTCTTGCTGACTTCAGATGCTCTCTGACCCTGTCCTGTAGCCTGCGTTTTTCGTCACGTCCTCTCCCTGCGAGTCTTGGGCCCTTCCTTCGGTCTGTCCGTGGGTTGTGTTCACCCCTGCCTCAGTGCCTCCCTTCTTCCTGCTTCCTCCCAAGTCTTTAGCTGCGACGTCCTCCCCTTTATCCCCAGTTGTCTCAGTCTCGCCGGGTTTTCAGGATCCAGCAAAGCCCCGCTTTCCATGAAGCTTTCCACAGCAATCCCTGCTGCTCCCTTAATTCCTTTGGCACTGGTCGCCTTCGCTGGACAGTGTTTTCTTAGCTGTTAACCTGTTTTCTTCTCATCATCCCTTTGTCATTAAGTCTGTGTACAATACTGTTTGTCAGGGGTTTGGAGGCTGTTGTTTTCTTGTTTCCCGGAAGAGATTGAAACCCCTCATGGGCAGAGACAATGTTTTGTGTTTCTTTCGTGCCCCCCAGTGCCTTGCAGAGTGTCAGTTACATTGTAGATGTCCATTCACTAGAATGACGGGATTCCAGAATGAGAGCTGGAACGGACCTCAGATTGTCTGGTCCAACACCCCTCCCCTGCTTCTGTGGAGGAGACGGAAGGGGCTTGAGTGGGATTCATCCCCCGGTCCTCAGATGCGAAGTCTAGCCTTTTTTCCACCGGGTGTTTATTGATTTCATTTTTGAGCACTTGACTTTACTTGCGTGTAACGTATTGTGTCTTCATTTCCCCCTGTAACATCTCAGGCAGGAGACAGGGGTCCTTGTCTTGTTCCCTCACAGGATTGTTGGTATACTGGACAGCTCACTCTGGTCAGCAGCACTGCAGGAGGCACCCCGTTCCTCCCTGAGAGCACCAAAGGACACTGACGTAGATTTGGGTCCTGGCTGTGGCACCAGCCAGCCAAGTGATCCAGCCCTGTCCCCTCACTTCTGGAGTCTGAGTTTTCTCATCGGTGTGCTGGGGACAATGACATTTGAGGTGGGGTTGGGGGGCTCAGCAGAAATGTGAGCCGTTCCTACTGCTCCGGCTGCCGCTGGTCTGGCATTCTCTGGCGTTCTCTGGCGCACTTGGAGCTGTGCTGAACGTTGGGAAGCCCCAAGTGAACGCTCCGTCTGCTACCAGCCCCAGCTCTTGCCTTTTGGGCATGCGTGCCTAGCCGGTGGGCTTCATTGGGTGGCTTAGCCCGTCGTGGTGCAGGACCTTCACTGTGGCGTGTTTTAGAAGCGCTTGGGCTGGTCACCAGCTGAAAGAACTCTCCTCTCGCTAGGACCCTACAGGTTTCCCCTCTCAGGATTATCAGTTAGGCTCCTGGAGAACAGGCTCCCATTTAGAATAGGGGAGTCATAGCTGAGTTTCCCATTACAGTGGGGGTGAAACAAGGGCTTTGTTACCTCATAGCAGGCCTCGTGGCCAGTCTCGATACAGATGGCTACAAACACCTCAGGACATTTCCAGGCTTGTTTGCTTCTCATGTGCTTGTTGACTTGTTGGGTTCAGGCAGTTAGGACTGGGTGGTCTGTAGCTTTAAGTCGACCCTGGCTTCATCTCTCAGTGACCTGATTTCCATTTGACTCTTGCTTCTCACCAAGGTGACATCATATTCCAGGAGCTTTGTGGAACATGAGCTTTAAAATCCCTTGCTTTCCCAGCTTCCATTGTGAGCCCGCTTTGTGGAAAGGAGTGCAGAATTCTAGGAACCCTCCCAGCCTGCACCAGTTGAGAAGGCATAGCCTGCCTGACATCCTCTTGGGATTACTTCTTTGTTGAAAAGCTTTATTGTTGCCTTCTGGGTTGGCAACTCAGTCCTTTCTCCAAAAAGAAGCGTTCATTGAAGCAGAAGAAGATTTGATCGCATCAATGTCTGAGCAACCGTTCCTCGTTTCCTTTGAATTTTTTCCTTTTGGTAAAATTATGTTCTTGGAGTGTTTCTCTTCACCAGCTCCCCTCCCCTCCCCCAAAAGAAGAAAGCTCAATAACAACCCACACATAATCTTTATTCAAGACATCACTTGCCAAAGCAAAAATCAGAGTAATTCCTTCGATAGGACCCTACCGAGGAAAAACATTTAATTAGGGAAACGTTTTAATTTGATGCTTCCAGGATATATTTGCAAAGGATCAGTGATTAGCTCTCAGTCTGTGAAATAGCTGGTCTAGCTCTCATTTCATTTTGTCTAAAACTGAGTGTTGACGTGTTCCCTAATGGCAGTCAATGGCTACTCCAGGAAGCCCCCTGATTCTCATTGGCAGCTGTTAGTTTGTAGAGCATTGGGACCTGGAGGAGAATTCAGAGATCATCTCACTGAACCTCTTCTTTTACAAAGGAGGAAATAGAGTCATGGCATTGAGGTGACTTGCCCAAGGTCATATGGTATGTTAGTAGCACTATTGGGCATATACCCTAAGGAAGTCAAAGAATGTCCCACGTGTACAAAAAATACTTAGAGCAGCAAAGAACTGGAAACGATGCCAAAAAATTTTTTTCAGGTTTTTTTTTTTTTTTTTTTTTTTTTTTTTTTAGTACTGAGAGCTTTGAAAACCTCATGATCACAGTTCCCAGGTGGTGAACTTCCTGCCTCATATTTACATACAAATGAGATCCCGGTGCCCCGTATTCATTACAGAAAGAAGTAGGGCCCCTTTGTGAGGGGAGAGCCAGCTCTTGGGTGGATTGTATCATCTCTGCCTCTTCTGCTCCTTGTTCTATATCACGCTGACTTCAGGCTGGCTTCCACTTAAGGCCAAGCCCTGTAGCCTCCGATTTCACTTACAAATCTTCATCCCCTGGCTCTTTCACAATGCCGTAAATCCTAACTTTAAAAAAAATTCTCTGATTAGAATCAAGAGAATGTTGTTGTTTATAAAAAAATTTCTATTTAAAAAAATTTTTGTTGCCTTTTGTTTTTATGTCATCATAGTTTCTAAATCCACCTCTCCTCTCCTCCCCTCCCCAGGCCTCGTAACAGAGATTAAGAAAGAAAGAAAACAGTTCAGAAAACCCAGCATCTAACAGCCTGTGATTGCGATATTGCACATACATAGTCTCTGTCAGCGAAAGGGAGGAGGGGCATTTTGTCACCTCTTCTCACAGAGTTAAAAGGACCTTAGAGGCCACCTGGCCCAATTCCCTCATTTTACAGATGAGGGGTCAAGAGACTTGCCCAGGGTCACACAGCTGGTAAGTGTCTAAGGTGGCATTTGAATGCAGGTTTTCCTGCCTCCAGGCCCAGCTCTCTCCACTGTGTCATGTTGCTGCAAAGTTGCATTGCTTTTATAGACCCCCATTCAAGAAGATTTTAAGCATCTCTGTGCTGTGCCATCAGTAGTGGTGGAATTCTGTAAGCAGAATATCAAATGATAGCCCTGCCTGGGCATCCCAAAAAGATGAACAGGAAAGGAAAAAAAATCGCACCTAAACAGCACAGATTGCTATAGTGTGGCAGAGCATGGAGTGTTTGGCTTTTCTTAGTACAGTGAAGGCTTGGTTCTGATCTATGAGTAGAATGTGGTGGGCCTCTAACTTAGTGATAACCTTCTTGAAGGCAGGAATAAGCTTTGTGACCCTTTTGATACCTGATAGCATTGGACACAGAATAAGAATTCAGGTCTAGGTTGGATGAATGAATTCAGTGCTTCTGTTACCAATTACCAACTACACTATCTTCTTACTCCAGCCAGGCACTAGGGATATTGTAAGCCTCTCTTCCTTGCTCATTGACTATTGACCTCAGCCTCCTCCTCTCCTTACATCTGTTCCCTTATTTTTTAAATAATATTTTATTCTTATTTCCAATTGCATATAGAAAGAGTTTTTAACATTAGTTTTTGAAAATTGAGTCCTAATTCCCTCTGTCCCTTCCCCTCCCTGAGACAGCAGTTTGATACAGGTTATACATATGCAGTCATGCAAAATATATGCCCATACTGGTCATGTTGTGAAAGGAAATGAAGACCAAAAAAAAAAAAACCTCTTGAAAAAAAATAAAGTGAAAAATAGTAAGCTTCGATCTGCATTCAGACTCCATCAGTTATTTCTCTGGAGGTGGATAGCATCACGAGTCCTTTGGAATTGGCTTGGATCATGGCATTGCTGAGAATAGCTAAGTCATCACAGTTGTTCACTGTGCAGCATTGTGGTTGCTGTGTACACTCTTCTGGTTCTGCTCACTTCACTTTGTATCAGTTCATGGAGGTCTTTCTAGGTTTTTCTGAAATTATCCTGCACATCATTTCTTATAGCACAGTAGTATCCCCTTACAATCATATATTACAACTGTTTCCTTATTGTATGTGTTTTGTGCCCCAGCTGACGTTGGCAGTGGTGTGCCAGATAGATTGGAGCATGAGAAAAGGGCTTTAGTGGGGAGATTCCCCCGGAGTTCATTGCAGTAGCCGTGGTAGGAGCTGAGGCCGAGGTGAGGGTGGTAAACACAGAAATGAAAAGGATGTCTAGCTAGAAGAGAGATTTCAAGGGCTGGAGGTGAGTTGGGGGAGGGGAGGGGAAGGAGGAAGGAAGGAATTAAGGAAGACTGAGGTTTTGAGACAGGAAGGAGAACAGGAAGGTGCAGAACGTTCTGTTATTAGCTCGTCAGTGCCTGTCTGTCTTTGACCATGCTCCCTGTCACCTGAGATAACACTGTGAAGTACGCTGAGAGGAGCCACACAGCTGCACGCATCTTTTTTCCAGAGAGGTTTGAATCCTGCTGAAGACCCCTCGAGGTCATCGTCACAACTGACCTAATTTCTCCCTGTCGGTCAGCACAGTTTGGCCACCTGGCGTGCGTCTTTGAGTTCTGAGGGCAGGGCTCTGAAGCTTCAGTCCACCAACAGAAACGGTCATCGTCTAGCCCTTCATCCTCTCCTGCAGTGGCCGTGCATATGTGTGGACTGAACCCTCTGCAGTCGTGTCCGAAGCTGAGTTTGTAGGCCTTCAGGCAAAACTCTCATCATCTCTAGACCCAGAAAAACCCAGGCCTCCTGAATTTGGACTTCTGATTTCACGACGTGCCTACACAGTGATCAGTGTCCCTTCAGGAAGGGCTTATGGTGGCTTGAGAGAGAGAGAGAGTGTGTGTGTGTGTGTGTGTGTGTGTGTGTGTGTGTGTATAAAGATATATTTTCAGTCCTGCACTACCATCAAGGACGCAACAGCCAGAAAAACAATTGTCAAACATTAGGTAAAGAAGATGATGATAGAGCTTTCTGTGTTCATTAAGTGCCTTTTTTACCCTTTCCCTAGACTTAAAGTCTACCAGTTGGCTGACCTTCCATCTCTCTCCCCATGGGGTTGTATCAGGGTAGTAAGAATACACTATTTAGTTTCCTCTCATGGAAACTCACACGATCTGTGTCTTCTTGTCCAGTCAGCGTCGTATTGTATGTACTTTGGGGGCTCAAGTTGCTGCTTGAGTTTGGGCTATTGATAGGAAGACTCCACAAAGTCGTGAACACCTTGACTCGTTTGTCTGAATGGAGGCCAGCCTCTCCTTCCCCCCACAGAGAAAGCTTTTTGAAAGAAAAAATCCTTACGGATAGATAGCTATAGAAATACTGTAGAGAAATAGATACCACACACATTGAAAAATAGCACGGATTTATAGGCCAGTGGTCATATATTTAGATCTACAGGAACCCTAGAGGTCATTTAGCACAAGACAAGGAGACTGAGATCAGGGGAGGTGGAAAGACTCCACCAGCAGGGAGCGGCAGGGACAGGGCCTTACCCCCAGGATCCTTGCCATCACACCATGCAGATTGATTATGCAGATTTTGCACGAAAATGCAACCTATAGTTTCACCAATAGAGTAATTATTTTTGTTGGTGGTAAAGGAAACCAGATACCTCTTCTTTTTAAAATGTTTAATTCATGTTGCCATGCATTTTGTATTACACCGGTTGGCCAACCCCTTTTCAAGTGAGCTGGTCACATTTCTCAGTTTGGGGAGTGAGTAGCTTTTTCAGAAAGAGATAAAATGACCTTTTGAGATGGTTTGATTTTTTAAAAAAGTCTTTTATCTGCTGTGCTCCCTTCAGGTGGAACTGATGAGAATAATGTTTAACATCAACCCCTTGGAGAACCTGAAGGCTCATATCAGCAGCCGCCCTCCACTTGTCGTCTTTATGGTCAGCGTGAGTGCCATGGCCATCGCTTTCTTGACCCTCGGCTATTTCTTTAAAATAAAGGAGATCAAGTCACCAGAAATGGCAGAGGTAAGGGAATACTCTGGACTCTTCTTTACTTGGCACTGGGTGGGCTTTGTGGGAAGGGAAAAGCGTCAACCGCACCTTTGAATGATATGTCTTAATTTGGACTTTTTTCCTAGAGAAGGCCTTATTATCATTGTAAAACAGCAAAAGGCTCCCTCTCCTTTTTCCTTTGTCAGAAAACTCTCACGTATCATATGCCCTTTTAGCAAGGATCTTAGTTTATTCTGCTAGATAAAGAAGAGTTAATTGAACCTATACAGTACAGTGATTGTAACAGGCTGGCAGTGAAGTCACAAGGCCTTTGCCTGACATTCATCAGCTTTGTGCCCTGGGGAACCCCCTTGCTCTAAACATTCTAAATTGGAGAATCTAAAACTATATGACAGAACAGAGGAGTGGCTAGTTTAGGAGTTTTCGGGTTGGAAGTTCTCTCTACTAATTAAATTGCAGCTCTGTTCTCCTCCTCCCTCACATCTGGGCTCAGTGGTGCTTCTAGGGAGATGGCTTGGGGCATTAAGCAAGTTCCACTGGGTGGTAGGATCAGGGATGTCCAGAGGTTGTGACTCAGACCTCCAGTCTTAGCATCCCTCAGGTTAAGGCAGACTGAGAAAATTAAGGCCATCCAAAGTTTGGAAATCCCACCCTTGTTTGGGGATTACAAGGTAGAAGGGCTGTTGTGCTGCTGCCCTGGTGACCCTATAGGTTCACTTTCTAAGTGGGTGAGAACTTCCCCACACCCTCCCCCTCTTTTTTACTTTTTATTTTCTTACAGATGAGGAAACTCAGGCCCAGCAAAGTCATGTGACTTGCCCAAGGTCATTTAGACAATAAGTATCAGAACTAGAATTCAAATCCAGGTGTCTGACTCCAGATTCCTTGCCCCCTTCCATCCAGCCTCAACAGTGGTTTTAGAAAAGGCTTATTACACATTTCAAAGCAACTTTTAAGTACCATGCAGTAAGGAACCTCTGGAGTTTTCTAAATTAAATGATTTTAAAAATAAAATCAATTTGAAATACATTTACTTACTATTTTATACCTCATAATTTATACTGGATTCAGCTTTCTGATGGATTAAGTAACCTGGAAAGTGCTTTTTTAGTGTATGTAAACAAGTCTCTGCCTCAGTTTCCTTTAAAAATCAGTCTTAAGACAGCATCTTTTCTCTTAAGCTCTGTTCTTTGTATACAGAAAGGGATGTGGATTGTAAAGACCCAGGTACTTTGTAATGAAAGGAGGGATGGTGACCGTGGTGCATTGTATTGTGGATCCAGACTCTTCCTGGGCCTAATGGGATTCTGCAGTCTGTATTAAAATCAGCTTGTAAGTGTTGATGGTCAGAGGGGACAGAAAGAGGCCAGAGAGATCCATTCTCTGTCATTTGTTTTCATCAGAATCAGCCTGTTTCAGCCTGTGCACATGAAACTTTTTACCAGCATGCTTTTGAGAAGCAGCATTGGCTAGTTGGAGGTGCCCTTTTCCTGCAGGTGGGCAGCCTTTGGGGGAGGATGAGAACCCCAGGGTCTGGGTCACTTACAACCTGGAGAGCCTGCCCCGGAGGACTCTCCAATTAGCTGTGAGTTTTCCTGGTCAGCGTTGGCTCCGAGTGGCCTTTGGTGTATGGGTAGGCTCAGGGGGATGGGAATTCCAAGGCTTTATGGTTTTAGGTTGTAGTTGTGTGCCCAAGTGTTCCAGAGCCATCATTTGTTCATCAATTCAGTTCAGTTCAGTTCAGCCAGCATTTAAGTTGCGGGTGTGTTCAAGGTGGACCAGCAGGGTAAGCTGGGAGCTTTCACTCCCAACTTCAGTCAGTCCAGCTGGTGTATTCTTGTGGGGCAGCTGGGCCTAAGGGCAGCTGCTTTCATCAGATCCAAGATCCAGTCACTGAAGTCAGGCTGAGAACGTCAAAAAAGTTAAATGCACCTTCATTGTGGCTTAAGGGAGAATAAGCAGCTTTTGATAAATTAGTGCCACGTAGGAGACAGTTAGCAAACTGTGTGTGAGTGAGAATTGTCAGAGGAAGTACTTGGATGTCTCATTTTGGAGGTCAGCTTTGTGCTTCTGCTAAAACTAATACAGGACTTGTTATTTCCAAAATAGCTTCTGAGTTAAGCCTTGCTGTTACCCATTGCACATGTATTTAGAAAGCCCTCAAGATCTGAAATCATTAGAAGAACTCATAGATGTTACAAGATGCCTGGAACTGTTTGTCTTCATCTAATATTTGAAAACTGACTTCCTTCTTCAGGATGAAATCCAGAGTCCACTGTGGGGAGGCGAGGTAGATAGGCCCACATAGAATATGGCATTCACTGAGGATGTTGGGAGGAACAGGGTTTTGAGGAGGAATTGCTTTTCTCCGTAAATGGAGTTGAGATTATTTCTGAGAAGTTAAAGTCACTGCTTTGGGAGCTTTTGTGTCACCTTTGTCTGACTGGGCTCTTCATGTCTAAGGATGATGCGTAGTTTTCATTCCTGGAGTCAAAAACGGAGCCTTTTCTGCTGTCGCAGGTGGACACCAGGCAGTTATGGCTCAGCTCCCTAGCTTACTTAACAAACACTCTCGTGCAGGGATAGCATTGCTTGCCTCTGAGATCATTTTGAAAAAGTTACAGCTGCCCTGCAGATGAAAAATGGTAATGGTTTCACTTGGAAAGAGCTGTGATCTCATCAGTATGGACACTTTCTCACGGTCAGTGTGGATCACAGCTCTTTTGTGGCCAGAAGGCATCCGTCATCCAGTCATTGGCCTGGGTGGCTCTTCCTGAGTTTAGCTGGACTGCTTCTCAGGCCTGTCTGTCCGGAGGCTCTGCTAGCATGGAATCACCTGGCGGAGCACTGCCTCAGGCCCACACTGGGGGACCATTGAGGCACTGGAATAGGCTTCAGTGGAGCACGGGATCAGACACAACAGGTGTCCAGTAAGACAACTCACGCTCAGGGCGTCTCATGGCTTTGTTCTTTATTTAAGGACTGGAACACTTTCCTCCTGAGGTTTAATGACTTGGACTTGTGCGTTTCGGAGAATGAAACCTTAAAGCATCTTCTGAACGACACCGCCACCTCAGAGACTGCAGTGACCAGTGGCCAGGCCCGGTCAGCCACCCAGGCACCACAGGCCCTCGAGGACTCTGGCCCCACGAACGTTTCTGTCGCCATCACTCTGACCTTGGACCCACTGAAGCCTTTTGGAGGATATTCCCGCAACGTCACACACCTGTATTCCACCATTTTGGGCCACCAGATTGGGCTTTCAGGTACGTTAGAGATCATCTCTTTTTTCTAAAGCATCATAGTTCTCCATCTTCCCCTAGGCAGCAGCTAGCACGGGGCTTTTACAGCCCGCCCGAAGGTCAGACACTAGAAGGTCGTCCTTATCCTACCGGGCTCCACCTTGGATTCGGCCTTGTCTCTTCAGACACCCGTTTAAGTCTGTTGTGTGTTCAACAGTAAACTCCAGTCGCAACCTCTTACTGCTGGGGTCAAATATAAATTTCTGCATTTGGCCTTGAAGGCCTTACAAAACTGGATCCCAGCCTGCCTTTTCAGCCTTCCCGTACCTGATGGCCCTTCACGCCCTCTCTGCTGTGGCCAGACTGGCTCCTTTATGTCCCCCCGTATCCCCCCATGTCTAGAGTGTTCCCCTCCCCTTAGCATCCTTTTTTTCTGAGGCTCCTTAGCTAGTGGTGCCCCTCCCCCCCACTAAAATGTCCTTGTTCATCACGTCCACATTTTGTACCTACTGATAGACACACGTCGGTTGTTTTCCCCAAAAGACTGACGTCTTTGAGGACTCCTTTTTAACTCCCTTTGTGCTCCTGGGGCCTCATACACAGTGTAGGCTTATGCTTGGTCAGTACCGTAGGGGTCCCTGGATACATGTGAGACCTAGCTCCATCCTCAATCAGACGAGCCACAGTGCAAGAGACCAGTGCTGTTAGTGCTCCAGGACCCCAGTGGGTCCTAAGTGAACAGCCCAGGGAGTGGCCTGGGAGGGCTGGCACTGGGGCTTGCTCCCCTGCAGGCTTCTGGGAACGCACAGTCCTTGGCTGTCCCTGAGCGCTGAGCTTTGCAGTGCTCTGCTGCCTGCTGGCTCTCTCAGGTGTGGGTGTCTCATTCCGGCCCACCTCCCTCCCAGCAGGCAGGCCCCTTCCCCTTGCCCAAGCTCTGTGGTTTTCTTTGCCTGGACTCCTTAGACCCCGATGGACGGGGAACCCCAATCCGTTCACCTTCTTTCTGTGGTTCCCATTTGAGCAGACCCTTCCCACTTACATTCTCCTTGTTATATAAGTTCTGTTATGTTCCTCAAACCTTGAAAACTTGCTGTGCGGGGCTGGGGGTGGGGGGTGGGTTTGTCTGTGCTCACGCACTTGGGCGTTAACTATAATGTTTTCTACAAAGTTAACTATCATGACTTCTTCCTCTCCTCACTCAGACTCTTTCCTTTTCCCAGGTAGAGAAGCCCACGAGGAGATCAATATTACTTTTACCCTGCCTGCGGCCTGGAACTCCGACGACTGCGTTCTCCATGGTCACTGTGAGCAGGTGGTCTTCACCGCCTGTATGACCGTCACGGCCGCCACCAACGTGTTTCCTGTTACTGTGTAAGTGCATCCCTGACTTCTGGGGTTTTTGGGTGGGAAGCTCCCGCTTCTCATTGCTCTCATTCTGTGCAGAAAACATTCATTAAGCCTGCACAGAGTGCCCTGTGTTACCATCTGAGAGACCGGGAAGAGTGTCTTCCCACCTCAGATCTCTTGGAAGATCCCTTTAAGCGGAGGAGGATTAATTCTGAATTCTTAGTGGAATCTCTAGCAATAACTGCCGAGATGGGACGGCGTCTCAAATCCCATGTGGATTGTTGTTCATAGACTCCTGGTGCAGTAGAGAGGGGCCGGGTGTGACCAGAAGTCAGCCAGACCTGGGACCTGAGCCTCCTCCCAGGCTCGGCTCCTCTCCCCCAGGGGAGGGCCTTCTCCCAGTGATGGTGAGGGTGACGCTGACATTACAGGGACCTGACTGTCACTTCTGGTGGACCTTCGTCTTTTAGTGGCTCCTACTGAGTTAGCTGTGCTTTCGTGTTAACTTCTCTTTGTTTACTGGCTGGGGATCTGTAAACACTCATCTGTGTGAGGACAGAGTCTGCTTAAAGGAGGCAGGCAGGATGGGCTAGTGGAAAGAGCCCTGGGTTTGGTATTGGAGGACCTGGGTTTGAATCTCAGCCACGTGACCTTGAGCAGGTCAGTCCTTCCTGAGCCTCATTTTCTCTCTTGTAACATGGGGGGATTGGACTCCGTAGTCCCTGACGTCCCTTCTGGCTCTAAACCATGAGCCTATGATTGGGTGACCTTCATGGACCCTTCAGGTCTTAATGTTAGGATTCTATGAATCTTTAGCATCCCAGACTCTAAGAGCCCTTAGGAAAGCTTCAGAAATCATGCTCATTTTGCACATAGAATCCAGAGGACGTGAAGGAACTTACCTGGGGTCACCCAGCTAGTTAGGGGTGTTGTGTCAAGCTAGTGGTCTTTCTGTGATGCCACGTGGCACACGAGCTGGGCCCTGGATGGCCTCAGCTGCTCCCTGGCATGGGAAGATCAATTAAAAGACCAGGCAGAAGGTCATTTCGGGTCTTTGACCCACAAGATCTGATAGATTACGTACTTGTCGGGCATTAGTTACTGGCCCTTTGGGGAGTTGGGTATGCAAAACTGCTGTTTGGGATGACAGAGCTTAGCCTGAGAAAACTGGGTACCAGGAGTCCATAGTGGCCCACTGGCACGTCACAAACGGCAGGGGTTGGGCTCATTGGGTTTTCTGCCTGGAAGCCAGAGTAGCGGCTCAGGATCCTGCGACTGCAGGCCTCATTTCCCTTTCTGCCGGTCCGACAGATGGGGCAGCCATCCCCCGTCCATCTTCCTGGCAGGTCCCGTTTGGGCAGTGACGTTCCTGGGAGGGGTCGGAAAGCCCCCCCATGGAGGAAGGGCTCCCTGTGGGGCGGGCGGCGGCCGGGGAGCCAGTGGTGCAGATCCTGGTTTTCTTCTTCCCCCAGACAACCGCCACATTGCATTCCCGAGACCTACAGCAATGCCACCCTTTGGTACAAAGTCTTCACCACCGCCAGGGACGCAAATACGAAATACGCACAAGATTATAATCCTTTCTGGTGTTACAAAGGCGCCATCGGGAAGGTCTACCACACTTTAAATCCTAAGCTCACCGTCATCGTGCCAGACGTAAGTGACAAAAGCCTGCTGTGTCCGTCGGTCTTCTAGACCGAGCTGTGGTTCCTTTTGCTTGGAGGATTTCTTTCCTGGGAAGTTGAATGCACTGGGGGTCAGAATAATGGGCCGTTTTAGGCCAGAAAGCTTTGGTTTTGTTCTTTTGGTTTCTTTCCAACTTCCTGAGCACCTGCTACATGCCTGACATTGTCAGGGACACTGGAGATAGAGAGGAACCCTTTCCTGGAGAAGAGTGCTCTCTCCTGGGGATCTGAGAGGAGCCCGTGCAGGACCCTGAGGGAACAGTCCCAAAAGCCCTGTAGATAGATCACGCACTGAATAGTGTAGACCAGGCCCAGAGGAGCATGGAGCTTCAAGACGAGCTCACTGGGCTAGAGGGGTCCGGAAAGGCCTGCCAAAGGACGTGGGGCATGATGAGGGCTCTTCCAGCCTTCCCCTGAGTCCCTCTCCAGCTCCCAGAGCACCTTTGTAGAGCTCTGGTTCTTAGGAGATTCCTCCGTGTGTTGGGCCAAAATCTGTTTTCTTCAGTTTCTGCATTGAAGACGTCGTGGTTCTCCTCTTGTCCCATGTATCTTGTCTCGTTGGGGAAGACCTCCTTTACTAGAGAGATGGAGTTGGTTGATGAGAAGCTTTGTCTGTTTTTTTCTTAAGTGTCATTTAATCAGTGAGCCTTGAAAAAAACATTAAAATTGTGTCATTTTAACGGGCCAAAGACCACAGGCTTTGTCCCAGACACTTAGATGCGAGAAGCTTGGAGCATCTAATTAGAGAATTGTTGTCTAGGTCATAGAAAGGGAGGAGGAGACGAAAGTTGAGGCTTTTCTGTTTTGATGGAAAGCAAGTGACTCTTAATCACATGCACACATCAGTCAGCACCATCATTTGGAAGGACTGGATTTCACACTTACCTTTCACCATCAAGCCTCAGGACTAGTTTTCATATTAAAAGAAAATGTTTTTAAGCTTGAGCAAAATGTAGGTTCTGGCCATTGCCGCAGAAACCTGGCCTCCTTGCCACATTCCACTGGGACAGATGTTTTGCCATATTTTGTCTTCCCAGACGTGCACGGTGTTTCCGTGTGCATGAGCTGGGTCTGCTCCCTTGGGCTTTGGTGGGCATTGAAGTTCACCAGACCAGGATTGGGTAAGAGGCTGGCTATGAGGAGTAAAGACGGGGTGAAGGGCTGGCCTGGCCACTAGCCCCCTGCCCTCCTGACAGTATGGCAGGGCACGCCCCATTCAGGAAGCAGGTGGGAGGCTGAGGTGGGGGATATTTGTGGCCAGGAGGCTGGACTGACTCCAGGGAAGAGTGAGAAGAGAGGAGGTGCCTTTTTTGTGGGGGGTGGAGTGAAGGAACAGCAAGGAAGGAGGGTTGGGACAGGAGTGATGGGGGGCACACACAAGCTCTGGATGCCCGGGAAGGGAAGGGAGAATTTCCAGAGTTAGGAGTGGTCCAGGTCAATTTAGCAAGTACTCTTTTTTGGGTGGGTGGGGGTGAGGCAATCAGGGTTAAGTGACTTGCCCAAGGTCACACAGCTAGCAAGTGTCAAATATCTGAGGCCATATTTGAACTTAGGTCCTCCTGACTCCAGGGCTGGTGCTCTACCCACTGCGCCACCTAGCTGCCCCTGGCAAGTATTTATTAAGCACCTACTGTATGCCAGGCCTTAGGGATACAACGTTAAAAAATGAAAAGTATCTTTACCCTCAAGGAGCTTACAGTCTACTAGAGGAAAAGAAATAGTGTCTGTACAAATAAGTAAATACAGAGTCATTTGAGAAGGGGCGAGGGAGCTGAACAACACCCCTGGTTGTGGGGGTGGGGAGCTCATGCGGAGCCTCAGATCCCAGGGGGAAGGTGGGGAGGGGGTGGGGAAGGAGCAGCAGCCGATTGGCTAGTTTGACTGGTTCAGGGCATTAGCATTTAGGCCACATGACTTTGGTTTCATTCTTCTAAGCTTTAGTCTTGTGGAATCCAGAAATAGAAAGAAAACTCCTCCCACATAAACATACAGAATGTGGGGGCTCTTAATGTGCGGTCCCTGAACTTGTTGACCACGATTTTAATATAATTGATTTCTCTTGTAATCTCATGTCATTTATCTTCTGTGTTCAAAACATGCTCTGTGAGAAGGGGCGCACAGGGGTCAGTGACACCAGACAGACTCGGCCCCCTCCCCTTCTGGCCGCTGCTGCAGCTTGGTTTCTCTCCTTTCCCTTTGTGTAGGATGATCGGTCCTTGATAAACCTGCATCTCATGCATACCAGCTACTTCCTCTTTGTGATGGTGATTACGATGTTCTGCTATGCCGTCATCAAGGGCAGACCTAGCAAACTTCGACAGAGCAATTCAGAATTCTGCCCAGAAAAGGTAAGCAGGATGACGGGAGGTGGCAGGCAGCCCGGCCAAAGCCGCCTTCCCCAAGCTGCAGACAGACGGATGGGCATCTCCTCCCAGGCCAGTTCTGACTGCGGCCGCCAGGCGGGCGGCTTTCATCTCAGCTGCCTACCTGAAAGTAAAGGGACAGACTTAAGAGGAAGGGGCTCTCTATTCCATGAGCAAAATCCCTCTGCCCCTTCACCCCTTCATGTCTTTTGGCCGGCACTTTTCCTTTGAAAAAGCAGTGACAGGATTTTTTCTTGTCCTTTCATAGTGGCGCCTGCCTAGAATCTCTCCAGGTGGGTTTGAAAGTCCAGCATTGGTTGGATCCTGGCTTTAAAGCTGTGGCTGCGTGAATTGTCGGAGGAGCGCCCCCTTCTCAGCTTTCTCCTCACCTGTTGTGTTGGCCTGAGCAGACACCAGGAGAAGAGAAAGGTGTGGTCAAGGAGTGAGACCTCAGGCAGAGCCCACGGCCAGCTTGGTCAGCTGTGTGTGCACGGGGAAGGAGGCTGTGGCTGCAGGATTCCATTTCACCCCCTCCTTAAGACTCCCGTCCTGGCTGATCCTGGTAGCACATCTCAGAATGCATTCATTCACACGTTTTTAAGTCCCTTTTGTATGCTAGGCGTAACACTCGGCAATGGAAGAAACATTCCTTACCCCCAAGAAACTTTATACACAGATAAGAAAATACAAAATAATATTGTTTTTGGTGGGGGAGGAGCAGCAGGATAGACCTCTTGTGGGCAGTAGCCCCAGAGCATACCGGGCATGCAGCACAGCATGGGTAAAGGTGTAGAGGCAGGAGATGGAATCCTGTGTCCAGGAAATAGGAGGTGAGCCGATTTGTCTAGGATGTGGAGCGTGCCAGGGGAGTAAATGAATGAGAAAGGGCCCCCACCCCCTGCGTGGCCAGCAGAGCCCATGGGGCTGATGGGGGTTGAAGCTGACCAGTCCCTTTGCCTGTGCTCTGTTCCAGGTGGCTTTGGCTGAAGCCTAGTCCTGTGACTTCCCTTTTCTGTGAGTGACCGAAAGAACCACAGTCGTTGCCTGCTGAGCCCGGCCTGTATGTGGACACTCCGTTGAATATATTATCTGGCGATGTTGGGTTAGTCCAACCAAAGACGTTTCAAGTGCCTGTTCATTGATTTGTACATATTTATAAAAGAAAAAATATATTCAGAAACTGGTCAGATGATGCACTCGCTGCGCACCAGGGTGTAACCAGAACCTTTCAACCTCTTACATGTGGACTCAGCCGTGTTTGTGTAAATATGTTAACAGTGTGGACTCCATCAGTCAGAGTGGAATGCCTGGCCTGGAGGCAGCAGAGCCTCTGTGAATGTTCCAGAGGAAACACATTTTCCGTCGGGGTTGTCTGCGTCTGGGTTTTGTGTTAGCCCAGCAGTGGTATGTGTACGGTGGTGTTTGAACCTGTGTGCACCTTCCATAGGCTGTCACATTCCCCAAGCCGCTGCTCCAGGGCCTGGGGGCAGCGTGTTCTTTGTGGTTCAATAAGGATGGTAACAACAATAATAATACCTGTTCTCCACTTTGCTCTTTGCTTGCAAGAAAAGATATCCATCTTTCTAGAGTTCTTTCTTTTTTTTGGAAGAAGAAAAATTAAAATACATATTCACATTTTAATACTGCTGTAGGTAGGACAGACTTTGCTTTTCTCCTGAGTAAAACAAATATTTAAAAGATGAATCCCTTTTTGAAGTCATCCCCGTGCTAAGTTTCGTTTTTTGTGTGGACTGTGGAAAGACACGACCTTGCTGGGCTCTGTGGCAGGATGCTTCCCGGTCGTGTTTTTCCTTCCTGTCTTGGCTTTTTTCTTCTTTAAAATGAAAAAGCAGCTTCCTTGTGCCAAGCTGCTGAGCCATGTCCCTCGGTGGGCTGCAGGGCAGAGGGGACATCTGGGGGACCGAGCTGAGCTTGGGCCTCCTCGTTTTCACCCAGGGCGTCGTCGGGAGCGCAGACAGCTGAGTTTGGAAGTTGGCGGCCGTCGATCATCTTCCTGGTTCTCCTGTCAGCCTTTGGTCGGGTCACTTCGTCCCTTGATTTTCCTTCTCTCTTGGTGGTTTCGTTTCCCCCTCTTTTTTTTTAAGAATTTGTATTACCTTTTCTAATTAACTTGTCTTGTGTTATGTTCCTCCTCAGTCTACAAGAAGGGAAAGCCTTTTGTAAACTTCCCCACACATTCGAAACGGGGATGCCTTGGTGACCTTCCACCATTAAGGACCTTTTAGCTTATGTCACGAGGCCATCGAATTAGGGCCTTGGAAATAGCAGCCCACCTTCTTCCCTTTCACGGGGGTCCTTGGGTGTTGCTCCTTCGGCCCGGGTCCCAGATTCCCCTAGATGGAAAGCTGCGGTGGGCCTTTTCCCAGAAGACTGTGAGACAGGGCACTGCAGGAACCTGGCTGGTGTTGCGGTGTTTCTCTCGAGTATATTTCAAGCACAAAAATCATATTTTTCTGATAGAAATGTTTTTTCTGTATGGTCTTTGTGGCTGACTGTGGGCAAATTGTTGAATGTAGTTTTCTTTCTGGAGTCCTTGTGCTCCAGACTGGAGCAGATTTGGAAATCACTCGGGCCTGGTTTCCAGAAATGTCTTACATTAAAAGGCTTCCAGAATTTAGCTGAAGCTGCTACTGACTTAGAATCCTGATGAAGTGAAGCGATATGACTAGATTTATAGCTGGTGTGTGTGTGTGTGTGTGTGTGTGTGTGTGTGTGTGTCTGTGTGTGTGTGTGTGTGTGTGTCTGTATATGTGTGTTTGGGGGTGGGGGATGCAACTAAGAAAAGCATTTTTCCTGATTTGTCCTGCTCTCAGCTCATCATATATACATATATACGCGTGTATATATGTATATATATATATGTATGTATGTATATGTTGCTGATTCTTGATGTTCTAATGGAAGGGACTGGAGTGGGGTGGGGAACGGAGCCCACAAAAGAAATGAAGTCAAGAATGGTGCTAGGAAGTGCCAAAAAATGCCCCAGGAAGATAACTTAGCTTAAGGTAAGATTGGAAAATAACAAATGTTCATCATTCAGTCAAGCAAGCAACTGTCAGAGGGCAGAAGCCCAAAGTGCAGCCGGTTGGAGAAGATATGCCACTGATGTATGTGAAGGGCAGGAAATGGGGACAGCTCCTGGGCTGGGGTTGAGGTCTCGAGTGAGTAGAGAGGCTTCCTGGGCATCCCACATTCCTGCCAGGAGCCGGCCTCTTCTCCCTGTGACTCGCTCCTGGGTCTGTTGTGGGTGTCGGGGGAGGGGGGGCGGGGGCTGCAGCCCCCTCGGGTCCCTCGGCCTGGCTCTGACGCAGCCGGAGGAAGGTCGGTGACTTTAACAGTAGAGTGTTGTTCCGGATCATATTGATCTCTCCTTTTTGTTCCCTTTCACCGTATGACTTGAATCCGTCTCGATTCTCTTGGTAAGTGTTTTTTCCCCGTAGTTAGTGCGTCCCATAGAGAGTCAGAGCCTTGGCTGCTGGCCCTCCTTCAGGTCACAGCTGAGATGGCCTGGTGATCCTGTTCACTTCTCTTGTTGCATGATCCGGTAATGGCATTCTCTGCTAGGTTAATTTTCTGTGTTTGTAAGGTGTGCGTATATGCTTTACAGAATAAAAACAACTGAGTTTACTGAGGTATCTCTTTTTGTTCTGCTTGGGTTGATCGCTTTGAGGGGAGGGATGGGGATGAATACAAAAGAAGAAACTGAGGTAGAGATGGAATCCTGTATTCGAGATCATCAGGCTCTGCCCTGAATTTTATTATGCTGGGTATAATCTAGAAAGTGTCTCGTGTAAAGCAGGGTGAACTTTCTTATCTTGCATGGGAGGAGGGAAAGGGACCTCTAGTCACACTTTAGGTAAGTGGGCCTCAGTTTCCTCAGCTGTCAGATCGCACATTTAGAGCTGGAAGGGACCTTACGGACCATCTAGTGCCACCAGAGGTTGAGTGACTTGCTCACAGTCGTACTAGGTAATAAATGGTAGTCAGAATTGGAACCTGAGTGCTCTGTCCAATGTCCACTGTACTCAGCCTCCCCATGCTAAAGCTTCTGGGTCTGTTGTCCTAGGACTAATGAACAGTACATCTTTAATGCAGTTCAGCATTTTCTTTTCCCCAGAGAAAAGCTATTTGAGGATTCCTGGGGGAGCCAGCTCTCCCTTCTGAAGGCTAGCTGTCTGCTCATCGGGTCTTCTCCCTGAGCTGTCGATGTATTCTCTGAGCTTTGCAATTTATTGGAAGAACAAACAGTAGCAAACCTGGCCCGAATCCTGCCCTGCAAAGGTAAATAGAGGAGCTGAGTAGGTGCAAGGAGAAGAGCATCCGTCTCAGTTACATTAACCCTTCAGAGCCTAAGCCTTGGCTTCTCCAATGGGACTCCGCCTCTGGCTGCCCGTCTTCCGTTACAACGTCCCTCCAGTGTCCCGGACTCTACGTCTAGCATAATTTGGTGTCATGGTTCTCCCTTGCTCGTGGAGGCTGAGAGAGCCAAGGGGGATTCTCTTTTCTCCTGAAGGGCAGAGGTACCGGGCGCCACCTTCATTCCCAGGAAGATGCTGTTGAGCCCCAAGCCATTCTGATGATGAAACCATGAACAATGCTGCATTGTGAGAAGTCAGAAATTCAGTACCTCAATGGCGCCTTCTTTTCCTTTCTCACTCTTGTCTTTCTTTGAGAAAATGGGAGAGTTCCATGCTTGGAACAGCGGTCAATTGCAGGTTAGCAATTAAAAAACCAACCCAACTCTGGGGGGATGGGGAGCCTGTACCTTGGCAGAGGGCTGGCCCAAGGCAGAAAGGCTCTGGACCAGTCCCTCCACCTTTCAGTGCTCTCACTAGTTCTTCAGGATTATTAATTATAGAGAAGATGCTGGCCCATGCAGGGAGAGAGAGTTCCCTCTACCAGTGAAGTCACAAGGCCAGGTCCTGTCTTCATCCCTTTAAACCTTCTGGCCCTTTAGTCAGCTCTTCAGAAGCACCAGCCTAGAGCGTTCACAGGCTGGCCGAGGCCTCCGACATGGGGTTTTGGCCGTCAGCAGACCCAGTTTCAAATCCTGTCACCGTGAGGCCTGCAGGAGGGTTGAGGCCCTCCCGTCTTTGTCGGTCTCAGGTTCCTCATCTGTAACAGTGCAAAGAATAGGAATACTTGAATCACTCCCTGCCTCATCTGTAAGTAAAGTGCTTTGTAAATCTGAAAGGGTTACAGAAATGTCCTTCTTTTAAGAGAAATTGGATGAGAGCTCAGGGATGGATAAATCGTCTTTGCCCACTTTAGAATGCAACAAACCTGCCTTGAATACCATTCATCACTGTTAGACACACGGCTGGGGGTGTGGGCGTTCCCATTGATTCCTTGCTCTGCTCAGTGGTGAACTTGGAAGTTACTGGGGTTACTTGGAAGTGACCCTCACAGAGGGTCACACACCCTCCTCTCCAGGGTTTTACCTTATATATCCTTTGTATCTATCTATATACACATAAATGTTTAAGTGTGTGTGAATGTGCATGTGTGTATGCACACACCTATTGTCTCCCCATTAGAATTTAGGCCCATTATGGGCAGGAACTTTTGACTTTGTGTCCCTGGTGCCTAGCCCAGGGCCTGGCAGAATAGTTTTATATCAGTGCATTTGTTGAGCGCCGATTTGACCTGTGCTAGGCCCTCTGCCTTGGGGAGAGGAATAGGAGAACTAGTCTTTTTCCCCCTCCCCTCTCCCAGGAGCTTACAGTCCATGCTACAGGTCTTGAAGATGCCAGGTGGCATGGGGCCAGGGAGTGGTGCTGACTAGGAGGGGTTGTTCAGAGGAGAAAGAGTTCCCTTTGGGCTGATCGGGTCGGAGAATGTTCTGTGGAGGAACTGGAATATGAGATTTGGAGATGGGACATAGGGATGGGTTGGCTCTCGGGGATCCCTTCCAACTCTGAAGTTCTGTGAGACTTTAGAGATTCTGGCTAATCTCACTTCCCTTGTTGGATTGGAGGTGGGAACTCTTGCGGTTTGGGTGATTTGTCAAATGGCCAGTAAGGGGCAGATTCCTCAGGACTTGAACCCAAGCCCTCTGATTCTAGTATTCTTTCCATTAGTCACTGTACCTCTTGAAATAGGAATAGACTAGGTGGGTGGAGGGCAAGGAACAGGAGATTAAGATCAGAAATCAGGTCACTAAGCATTTATCGAGCACCTTCTGTGTGCTGGGGATGCAAAGAAAATCACGAGCCCCTCCTTTCAAGTTGCTCTAGTCTAAAGGGGGAGACAAGATGCAGACGGCTCTGCCCATGAGGTAGACCCAAGAGCGATGCCGCGACTCCTTTGTAAAAGCAGCAGCCCCAGATGGAGCCCTTCCTGCTTAATGAACTCTCAGTTCTTTTTTACATTCTAAGTGGTTCCCTTCTCACTTCCTCCTCGGTAAAATGAAGGGGCTGGGAGCAGGGATCTCAAATCCTCCAATCTCTCTGATCTCCGAGCTGGTTTCCCTGAAAAGTGCTTTTAAACCAAGAGAGAGAGAACAGCTTGTTGTTGAAGCCTGGGGACAGGGGAGGACACTGAGTGGACTGCACGTGGAATGTGGCCAGGACAGTAACCTCTGCTTCAGTCCCACCTCCTCCACCCTTTCCCCCAAAGGTCTGTAGTGGAGAGCCTCCAGCCCCACTGGTCATTAAGGCTGGAATGGGTACCTTGGCAGGCTTTAGTCCAGTATCCCATAAATTTAGTGCTTATATTTAAGAGCATCGATAGAATTTAGAGCTCAGTTGGCCCAGACCTTCTAAAATGAAGAAAGTGAGACTTGTAGAAGGGACACGACTTGCCCAAACTCACACAGCCATTGACCAGTTCCTCTTGAGTCCAAACCCAGTGGTCTGTCTCTGTATCCAGCACAAGGCCACCATATTCACCTGATAGAAGCTTCATATTTAAGCTGAACCAAACAACAAAGGCTTAGGGACACCCAGTCAGTATACTGGAGCCCAAGATTCAGGCCTAGCACCCTTCACCCTACCCCTGCTGCCCGGAATGATGGTTCACTAGGAAAAGTCACTGGGAGTAGATGAGGAAGGGAGAGCCATGTTTCTAACCAATAAGAATTATCAAGTTAAATGGCTCCCCCAAATGGCCCAGCCACGAGAAGAAGATAGCCTTGTTTATCATCTTGATTCCAGTGAACATAAAGATGCAAATATTTGAAGTGCAGCACCATCAGGCAAATGGGGTGTTGCTTCCTAAATGACACCATCCTGCCCTTCCCCCCACCCCCAAGGGGTATTTCCATTCTTGCTGGAGAATGAGAGGGGGCAGATAAACAGCTGGATCTGACTTTTCCAGGTGGGCATTCGGGGAAGACAGCCTCCTTCTCATGGCAGTCCCTTCAAGCCTTGCTCTCTGTGGCTAGACTCCACATTCCCAGGTGTCCATCTGCTAAGTGTGCCTGGAGAGGTCTTGGTCCTGGTCCCCTCTCTGGGCCTCAGTTTTCTTCTTTGTAAAACGAATGGTTGGATTCAATGGTTTCTCCATTTCCCTTCTAGCTCTTACATTGTAGGGTTTGGTTTTGGGGGAACAGGTCCCAGATTGGACCTAAGTGGCTGGGTTTGAGCATCCACCCCACCTTCTCCTCCTCCCTGGATCATTCTTGACTGGGTCCCAGGAGAACAGGGAAGGGGTAGAGGAATGGTACGGAGCTCTTTTCTACCTGCTTCTCCTCTCTTCCATTGCCACAATGTTTGTATGCTGCACCCTAAGAGCCATGGGACCTTTCCATCTGATTGGCAGCAGAAACCCTCCATGTGCATGGTCTTCCCTGTTAGACTAGGAGCTCCTAGAGAGCAGAGATTGGTCTGTCTGACTTTTTGATTTGTATCTCCAGACCTTAGCACAGCGCTTTGCACATAGTAAGCATTTTTCATTCATTCATTCATTCTCCTTGTCTTTTCCCTTCCCCCTCTCTCCAAGGAGATAAAAGATGGAGCACCTATCATTCTCCCAGGTTTATTTTCCTGATCTGTAAAATGGGGCTGGTCACGCTCGTCCCTCACTCCCAGGGCTATTGCAGGGGGAGCCCTTTGTAAACCCTTAAACAACATAAAAAAGATGAGTTCTGTCTTTTGTCCCTATCTCCTGGCTCAGTGCTAGGCACCCAGGGACTTTCTGCTGATTGATTTGTTGGATAAAATTGCCAGGAGTGTGTCAGAAGATTGAGACTCTCCCCCTCATTTGCCTGCTGACTCAATTACAATCATAGATTTATAATTGGAAGGTAATTTCAAGGTCACCTATCCTCATTTTTTTTTTTAACAGATGAGGAAACTAAGGCCCAGAGAGAGTGATTGATTTGTTTACTAAGTCATACAAACAGGAAACGGCAGGGGTCGTCAGCACAAGATCGTAGCTGTAGAGCTAGGAGGGCCCTTGGAAACCTTCTAATCTGACCGTTACTCATTTTACGGATGAGGAAACTGAGGCCAGGGCAGGTAAGACACTCCATCTTTTGACTCTGGGCATTTTCTCTGGCTGTTCTCCATACTGGAGGCCTCTCCCTCCTCATCCCCGCCTCCTGGCTTCCTCCCACCTTCCACAGGAAGCCTTTCCTGATCCCCCCCGGCACTAGCGCCTTCTGTCTGTCCATTAGCTCCAACGTG